TGTTAGAATATGATAAAAGGCATGGGTTGGAGTATTTAAGACGGCCCTAAAAACCATCTGTTGAGCTCTGCACTTTCACCACTGCAGATCCACATCAGCAGCATCTTTGCCAGCAACATCTGCCATCATGGTGGATAACATGGAGCCCAGTGTGAGTGTCATGGACGTGTGCTTAGCTCCATGGTTTTCGGTTCCTAAGCCCGAGTTCTTATTGCCTTTTTGACTAGTGAACAACAACTGCGGTTAACATCCCAAACTCTGTTTTGCAGGCATGCCCAACATGCTTTCAAATGATATATAGCTCTACTGGAGTAGCAAGTTATCCTGCTATGATTATTTTACTGGCTGCACTCTTGCCACATTTGTGTTCTCAGTTTTGTGGCAGATGTGCATGGCACAACATTACATGTAGGATTTAACTGTGTATTTATTCACGAGCGGTCACGACAGCAGGTAGCTCTGCATGTTTGATTTGGCAGACGCCTTCCTGATGCAACCCCAAATTGATTTCTTCTCCTGGGACCAAACTGGAAGGTCATTCTGGTAAAGTGAATGTGTAAACCACTACAGTATAGAGCCACTGTGCTCCAGACCGAATCAACCTTCTACACTCGACTACAGTGATTTTTATTGCAGGAGAAGAGGATAAGTTGGAGGATGAACTAGAGGAGAGAGGAATAATGGCACAGAGATTGGAGCAGAGGTCATGTGGGAGAAAAAAAGAGCGATAATGTGAAGACAATGGATGGAAAGAACAAAAGAACAGAAAGGATTATAAAATAAGTGGCTTAGAAAGGGAGAGAAAAACAGGAGCGAGTAATAAATGGGAGAAGGGGAATGAAAAATTTGATATTTCTGTTACTGATCAGTGGCAGCAAGGAGGGGGTGGGCTGGGTTTGGAAGTGGTGCTGGAGTGTGTGTGTGTGTGTGTGTGTGTGTGTGTGTGTGTGTGTGTGTGTGTGTGTGTGTGTGTGTGTGTGTTTGGGGAGATTTTGACAACCATAAGCTCAGAGCAGCACGTGGTTGAGTGAAGAGACCCCTGGGAGCTCTGCGAAGAAACACATCAAACTTAAGGATCTAGTTACATTTGTGTGTGTGTGTGTGTGTGTTATTTTAGTGTCTCCTCACCCTTTCTGGAGTACATCATTAACTAGCAAAGGAGAAAAATCACCGATGAAATAACTAATGAGTAATTCTTCTTGCCTTAGATTTTCTTTGCAGACAAAAGCTTCGAGGTGGCTGCTGAGGTTTGCTTCTTCGAATAATAACTGAAGTGTTTGCATTTGGTTCATTGTGTTTTCAATGTCTTCGAACACGTTTTAGTGTGTAACAAGAACCGACCATCACATCACAATTCAGTGAGCTCTTCTGAATGCAAACCCAAACAGAACAAGTAGAAAAAAATGAGATTTTTGCCACAGTGTTGATAAATTGAGAGGTCGGTCTGTGTAACATGTTTCCTCCCATTCCAAGATCTCAGGTCAAAACAACTGCATCTCTTGATTCCCCATGTAAAACCACACAGAGGTGACAAATAGACAAATTGTGTGCATCAACTCACAACCAACTCTCTTAGAAGAGCAATTTATCACATTTATTCGCTCCCCATAAAAGCACGTTGCAGCTTCCGTACACAGACTCCCTCTGCCTGAGCGAAGCCGTCAGCCATTTACATTTACTCGTGTTAGTCGAGTGAAGAAAATCCAATATTTCAGCGAAAGAAAAAAAAGGCCGAATGTTGCAGGGTTACAAATTTTATAATAATTACAATAATTTACAAAAATGAAAATATTAACATAACTTAGCTTCCATGATACTATCAGACTAAGGCTGAAACTGGCGGTTATCTTTTTTAATTAGTCACTTTACCTGATTATTAGCCAGTTAATGAAAACTCCAATTGTTGACTAATTGTCGTTGCATCCCTGATCAGTATTCTTCTGTGATATGTGACATTAGCAGGAAGAGGTTAATGACTTAAAGACAGGAAACCAATGCACACATGTGCTCACTGACTCATATGAAGCATTTGAGCTCCAGGTTTTGTAACGCTGCAGATATGATTAATAAAAGGAGATTTTGAAGATCCAACCATCAAGTCGAAGCTTCGAATTTGTCCTTTGTTAAATTGACACTTTCGTCTTTTTTTTCACATCCACGAGCATCACTCGGCAGATGAGTCAAGTTAAAAATAAACCGAGTCTAGACGAGCTTTGTACAGAAGACATTTTCATCCAGGGGTAGCCATTAATTTGTGCAAAGATAAACTTCTGATGCCATTTCATTAATTCTGTTTCTCCTTCTGGAATCAGTGAGTTGGAATAAACCGGAGGAGTGATTGAAGCCAGGCACGCCGGGGAGTTGAAGGAGACAGACAGACAGAGAGAAAAGAGAGACTGAGGGGGGGTGAGGGTGAAACCGCAGTTTTTATACGTTGTCTGGTTTTAATTTGGTAAGAGCCATCATTCACCAGTTCACTGAGGTGGCAAACCAGATGAGTGCGTGCTTCTGGAGCGTGTGTTTCTTTACAGTCATGGACACTGAGATCTGCTTCTACAAATCTTAAAACCATCTGACACTTTGTTATTTATTATTTGTCTTGCTAATATTTCTTTAGTCCTCAGCCATTTTCAAGGAATAGCTTGGGAAATGTGCTCATTCTCCTCTGGCGTAGAGGAGAGGTTACACTTTAGCAGGTCAGGCTGGATGTGCAGGGAGGCTGGAAACAGCTAGCATGGTGTAGGTAATGAAGTGAGATTGCCAACACGTCTAATGCTCATTAACCATCTCTCAGTGAGTTTGAGCAACAATTTGCTGCTCTGTGAGTCGTTCTGGAGCTCAGGAATGAAAAAGACACTCCTCTGTGCCAGAAAGAGTGGGTAATGGATTGCGCATGAATTACAGCAGATGTTGTCATATCTGCAGGTGTAGGTGTGTGGCAGGCAGTGTTATGGACCCAAAACGCAGGACTCAGCAACGCAGAACTGAACTAAAAATCACAGCGTCAATGCTGAAAAAACAGGCAACAAAAACAACAACATAACGTCACAAAACAAAATAAACTGAGTCACTGACAGAGAGGGAAACCAAACAGTCGGAACCACTACTTACAATAAGGGAGTGACAATACAGTCCCGATCTGTTTAAGAACAATTGAAAAATGTCAGAAAATCCTATTTTGCATGGTTGGATCTTAACAGGGTTCCAAGTCGAGCTTCAACATGCAGCAAGAAGAAATGGGAGTGAGACAAAACATGTTTTTGAGCAATTTATTAAAAACAACTGTTAAACTGAAACAGGCTGATCTACAGCTGATCAACAGTTTAGGACCAGTTGACCTTTAAAAGGTGAATCTGTGGATTCATTGTCCTTTTCTGTCAAGTAGTCACACTTTAATGATGGCAAAGGCAAAAACTTTCCCTTTTTTAAACGTGATCGGGTTGTTGAACTGCATGAGCAGGATCTCTCACAGCACGCCATTGCTGCTGAGGTGGGACGCCGTAAGACGGTCATTTGGAATTTCTTAAATGATCCTGAGGGTTATGGAACAAAAACTCAAGTGGAAGATGCAAAAAATGTCACCAACACTGAGCCGAAGCATCCAATCGGCTGTCCGTCAAGACACTGGATGATCCTCGATCCAAATTAAGGCCGTTTCTGGTGCCGACTGCAACCCCGTAACCATCAGACGGCATCTGAGACTGAAGGGCTTCAAAAACACAAAAATGTCTTCAAAGGCCTCGTCTCCTTGAACGCCACAGAACTGATCATTTGGACTTTGCAAGCGAGCACCAAGCATGGGACACTGAAAGGTGGAAGAAAGTTTTATTCTCTAACGAGAACAAATGTAACCTCGATGGTCCTGATGGTTTCCAACGTTACCAGCATGACAAGCAGATCCCACCTGAGATGTTTTCTACGCTCCACAGTGGAGGGGGCGCCATAATGATCTG